ACAGTTCAGTCGATTCGGTTTATCATAATTAAAAATTAAATAGATCAAATAGTTTTCAAAAATCAAGTAAAATAGATTAAATATAAAAGAGAACTGAACTAATCAAACATCAAATTGGTTCGATTTTGAATCGAAATGATTAAAATTTCATTACTTTTTAACAAATTATAACATGAAAATTCATAAACTCTATTTATAAATATAAATACACAAATAATCTAAACATTAAAAAAACATAACATTTGTTTTTTGACTTATATAATTATATCTTTTTACATAAATGATCAAATTAACATTCAAGATTCAACATAGCAAAGATAATTAAATTAACATCTACAAAATAAAACTTTCTAACTCAAGACAATCAATCATTGTACATCATTAGCACTCGATCATGTGGCTCATTGGTTAATGCATTATCTCCTGTCTAAATAACAGAGTTTGGATTCCTCTTTTCCCAATTATAAAAAAAAAAACACCATTGTACATTATTAACTTGAATATCTTCCATAACTTCACATAAACTATCTAACAATTAAAAGAATATAATAAATGTAATTATTAATATTTTTTTAATTATTTACATCAATTTGATATTTAGATCAACTTAATTTAAAAATTTAAAAACTTTAAAATTGAGAACTAACTTAATAAACTAATTAGATAAAATATTTTAAATCAATAGATTCAATAACTAATTGGATCAAATTATTTCACCTAAATTGTGTTTAATTTAATAGAATCATTCGTCTGGCCTAGCTGATTGCAGCTCCAACATTCCATGACCAACTAGGACCCCATTTTTCCATGTGGGCTATCTCTCATCCTCACCTCTGCTTAGAAGCTTGTACTTTCTCTCTCTCATCCCTCTGTAACTCTTACCAGTATCACATCTTATTTTACCCAACTCTTTCTTTTTTTTTAATTATTTTGGGGAAGAGGGAAACCCAACTTTTATTATTCATTCTCTAATATTCGATGCTCTTTGTCCAATGATAGCAGAGCCGTAGAGGGATGCATGAGGTGAGCTTTTTTTTTTGTTAATTCTTTATATTCTTCTTTGTTGTTGATTGATTACTTTATGGAAGAGCCTTTCTACTATGAATTTCAAGTTTTGATGTTGCAGCTTCAATTAAAATGTTTCAAAAACGGCAACATTTTTGCAAAATACTACTCTTTTGTTTTTTTTTTTTTGTATTGGTGTTTGGCCTAATGATTGAAAACTCATTGAACTGAAGCAATTATCTCTAATTTTCAATTTGGACATTTGCTATTAAAAATGGCATCAACAGCATCTTTCTTTCTATTCCATTCTATCTGGCATCAACAGCATTTTGCACTTTTTATGTTTGTTCCGCTAATGTGAGCTTCTTCCTCTTCTTTAATCGCTACTATGTGAAGCAAGAAACTTTCAGTTGTCTGCGAGCAAAGCTTGTCAATATTCTATTTCGTTTTGTATTAGCTTGTGCTTTGTGCGTGTTGTTTTGCTAATCCTTGAATATTTAATTATTTGTGCTATTAAGTTTAGCTAATCAATTGTTTTTTACTATATAATGTAAATATATGCATAACAAATTTCAACTGCTTTGACATGTTTGGCCAATGATGAGATTCATTACCTTAGGTAGTTGTCTTGATTTTCATTTGAACCTCCATCATTGCTTTCACCAACCTGTTCTTGTTGTTGTTGTTTATCCCTGAAGGTATGGATTGGCTTTTATAAAAATCGTGAGTCTCCACTGTTTGAATATGACACTGATGAGATTAGATGGTGTTACCTTTTGACATAGAATATCAAATGGGTTGTAAATCCTTCAATTGGAAACTATTTTTCCTTTTCTTAAATTTCTAAGAAAATGTTTTAGATGCAGTGTGAATTATAGATTAGTCGCATACAATGAATATTTATGGAGTTTGATTGATTACTGCATAGATGAGCCTGGCGATTTAAATTTCAGGTTTTGGTGTTTCAGGCTCAATGATGATATTTGAAAACTGGAGTTTCTTCCCAACATTAATGCATTCTATTATTTGAGTTTGAGTTTTTATAACATTTTTTAGCAAAGCTTTCTGGACCTAATTTGTAGCATTCTTTTTGTATTTGGTGTTTAGCCCAACGATAGAACACTCATTGAATAGAGCAGTTTTTCTTATTCTCATTTGAGCATTTGCTATTATCATCTCTATCATTGTCATCACCAATCACCGTTAGAAACAAGCAAAATACCAAAGTAGCCTTCTGTCTCTCTCACTCTGACTTGATATATATCTATATATCTTCCTATTGACATGGATGATGATGTGTGAAAGGTCTTTAAAACCGGTTACTTAATACTGTGGATGACCAAATTTATCTGTGAGATCTTTTTTTTTTTTTAATCATTTTGAATCTTGTCTGGAATTCGTAATTACTTAATTAACTTCGTGTACCGTAGAAATCTTTGGGTTGTGATTTTATTCTATAGTGACTACATTATAGGACAGTTTATGCTACTGCTGCTGCTACTATCGTCATTATTGCTGTGTATTTTTATAAAATCATGAGCTTCTCTGTCTTTTGATTATGATACTCATAAAGGCATTGCATTTTTGTAAAAAGAGTTTTTATTTTATCTTCCTTTAAGTGTTGTTATGGGCCTTTCAGGGTAGTGCTCTGAAGTTATAGTCATTAGTTGCTCAAAGCAAATTCCTTTAACTAGTTGTCATAGTAGATCATAGTTTTTTCTATTTGAGTTAGGTGTTGTTATTAGATATCTGTGTTTAGGGTTACAGTGAGATCCTACACTATAGTTAATGCTTTTTCCCAATGATGGAAATGCTCATTTTGATTTGGAGGTTCTGGTTTGTAATTCATCTCTAGCTTTTACGCACCACCTCCGTCATTCAATCTCTCTTTCTCTCTCTCTCTCTCTCTCTCTATATATATATATATATATATATCTTTGGTGGTGTGTGAGATGCCATTGGTGAACACCATTGCATGAGCTGTAAATGATCTTGTCAAAGCTATAAGATCTGAGTCACTTTTTTGAATTGCACTTTCATAGGTTTGAAAGTCAAATGTAATCTTTGGCCAAAAACAAAAGACAAAAAAATGAGGTTACCCTTAGTCCAAAAGGTACATGGTGTGTGTTTAGATTTTGAGTTATGGAATTTATTGGTGCCATGTATAGCTCCAAATCATAACTAGTTAACATGTCTATAGAAATTTTAGTTAAGCATTGGAGAATTGCAAATTGAGCAATTCCTCTTTCACACACACACTCTCTCTCTCTCTCTCTTTCACACACACAAACACATTTAACTAATATTAAATTATCGCAGTTGGGTGAGGTTGATTTTTACTTTTGTTTTTGTTTGCATCCCAAGGCAGTTCTGGATATATCTTTTACTTGTGTAATTTCAATTATTATTATTATTATTGTCCTATTATTGCACATGGTATTGATAATGGCTGTGGAATAGTTTTCTGTTAAAACATATAGCTTCACTATCTGTGTATTTTTGGAAGTATCAATTCTGACCTCTGAGAACATTTTAGATTCTTTATCATTTGTGTTGTATTGAGAATTCATACATTTTGAGGTTTTTGACTTAACAATTTGCAGGTTGTACGAGTTCAGTTATGCTGCTTTCAAATTTAATTTGGCTACATGGTAAGAGTAGGATATCATGCTTTTCAGTACTCTGATACGACTATCAGTATGTTGAGTTGCATTTTGAATAGCCGAGGCTGCTCATTTGTTGCCCTATCGAACCTTCCTTCTTTTATTCCTCACAATTTGATGGTTTTTATGGCTGCCAGATGAAAATAAGGCTTCATGTTTTTTCTTTTGATTTGGTTTAATGGTATTTATTTCTCGTTTTTATGTGGCACTTTATTATACCTGAAGATGCCTTGTTACATGAATAGTACAATTTATGACAACATGGACCCAAATTCTTCTTTTTTCTTGTACACCAACATGTTTCTCTTTCTCATGGCTCTTCTGGAACCATTTTTTAAGACATTTGATTGGTTAGTTTATTTTCATGAATATTCCTGTATTTGCATTGTTTGGGTATTTATCTTCTTATTGCCTGATGATGGACAAATTAATTTTATCAAGTGGTATCTAGATTATTCATTAATAATCTTTATATGCCATGGGTGAGTGTCTAGGTGGGTGTGTTGTGTTTCTGTAATGGCATGTGTGCACGTGCGGGCGGGTGTGTGTGTGTGTATGGGTGTTAGTGGTTGGTGTATAAAGGCTTGTAATGAATGCCATTGGTAATATACCACATATGATCAATCCAAGCTATGAGATCCGAGGCCATTTTCTTGTTACCTTTACTTTGTTGTTCTGGATTTTTTTTTGGGCCGAGGTTATGGGTGGTGCAGCCCACTCCTCCCTCAAACCCACTTACCAGCATATTCTAATAGTTGCCACTTTTTGGACTTTTAAGAAATACATTTGCAGTTTACATTTGGTCTAACCATATCTCCATGTATTCCTTCTTGTCTTGCAGTTTACCAATACATTAAAGTACAATAAATACAAGATACTCATGTACATTGGTTCCAGTTCAATGCAAGTGTGTTGTACACTGACACTAATAATACCAAAGCATAATATTTTGAGATTAACCCACAGAAGAGTGGACGAACGGCCAAAACAACAGAAATAAAAAAACCTTCTATCACACACAAATAGGGTGAAAATATTCATCATAGAGAAAATCAAAATGGAACAGTACATACAGAGATTCCTAAACAAAGTGTCACTTGTATCAATCACCATAGCCATATTTACTCTCTTCTTCCTTTTCCTCCAAACCTCAGAAACCTACATCACACACGACACTACCCTAAAGCCTCATCTTAGATTCCCCAAATCTACCAGTGACTCTTCCTTGTGTTACTACCTCCATTTTCCCAAGAAAACACCTACTTTTGGTCCTCCACATCTTAGATCACCGAAGTCTCTTCCTTTACTCAATTCTTCACCTAATTGTAAAAAATGGGTCTCTCCAAGAAACACTCCAAAGTCCTTTGTGTCTCTGTTGGAGCAGGCCATGAGGTCATGGCTCTATCCAAAATGGGTGTTGAGGATGTTACAAGTGTTGAAGTGATAGAGTCTTTGCCTTTGGTTATCAGGGTGGATCCTCATAATTGTCCTTTCCTTCATGGGCCTTCGATGTTGCCTTTATTGGGCATTTGGTGGAGGCTTTGTATCCCAGGCGGTATGCAAGGTAGATGGAGAGGACTGTGAAAGAAAGTGGGGTGTGTGTGGTGGTAGTGGACGAGTGTGATGATGATGAAGAAGTGAAGGAGATTGTTAAGCTGTTTAGGAAGTCCAAGCTTGTTGGCACTTCCAATGTTACCTTGAACAGAAGAAGAGTGACAAGGATCATGCTGAGAACTATAGCTTTTGCCTAATAGATTGTGGCTATTTATTTTGTCTTTGATTTTGTGGTGCTGGATTCATTATTACCCATGTCTTTAGTTTTTTCCAATTCTTCATTAGGTGAATAAGGATGGCTCTTCTTGTTGGGTTTACATTTCCCCCAGATGCAACATCTACAAACACCAAGTACATATGCATAATTTGGAAATTTCTATCTAGCAGGGTCCTTTCGAAATTAATTTCTTATAAACTCCTTTGTATCTTTTTTTTTATAATTTTTTTTAATCATTAATTTTGATAGATTCCGCTGGAAGATTCTTGGCTTAGCAAAGGGAAAGAAGGCCTCCTTGTTCTTGAGTGAACAAAGGTACTACCATTTCACTTTCAGCACGCCATTCATAATTTTTCTAAGAAGGAAGAATGAGGACTTGAAATAACCTTATGTTACTGTTATTCATTTAGTTATATAGCCCTTTTTATCATCTTTGATTTTAAAGGTTATAGACTCTTTTTTGCTTCAAAGTTGCCCTCATCGTTCAGAAATTCAGACTATTGTACTTGCCGAAATTGAAAGTAAGTGCTTTTTCAATTGACATTTAGTATATTTTTTAATTTGATGATATCTTAGATAGAATGCATTTCTATAGCTTATGTTATACATTAAATGGCATATGAATGATTCTAATTTGGCCGAAAGAGGATCGTCGAATTGTCATTTTCTTTTTGCTTATATCTTAATGACATACATGGTATAACAAGTATAGCAAGTTTCATTCTACACATGGAAAAAGAGGGTAGATGTTGTATTTGGTTGATGAAACTGTCAGCGTACATCTCATATCTCTCATTAATGTAGTGGCCTTTATTTGTAACATTTAGAGGGTGAAACTATCAATTGTTAAATCTGGTTCAATTTAGACATCTGTTGATACCACACATTTAGCTGGCCCTAGCAAACTAGAACAATGAAAAAAACCATTGATTATCCATTAAGACACTTGGACTCAAGGTTTGGTATCAGTTTTTCAACTTGTATACATTTTGTTAAGTTATTAGTAAACCTAGTGCTATATATGGGTCAGGGTGGTTCAAATATTAGCTAACTTAGTAATTGAACTGAGGTTTTCCATTTTTGAAAATCTCATACTAAAACCACATTGAAAGGTAACAAAAATTACATATAACTGAGACCAAATTAATTGATTATTTTGGTTCCTTTTTCTCAAGTTTTTTATCCTCATCACATCGCACGAATTTGTGCATTTACAGATATTCAATTCCTTATTAAACCTTTTTTGAAATCTTTGCCCTTGAATCAAGTAAAAATCACAAAGCTAGCCCTAAAAGTAAGCATCTTAAATCAAAAGATTTTAAATGTGATCTCTGTAGAGGGTTCTTTTGGTTAGGGAGAAAGGACGTGTTGCAATGAGTGAATCAGGATGGATTAGAGGCAACATAGAGGAAGACTGGAATAGTCCTTGAAGCATAAGTGCTTTGAGTGGCAGGTGGCAAGGGATGAGAAAGGGTTGACTAAGATGCGGATAACGACGAATGAGAAAGGACTGAATAGAAAGACTCTCAATGGAATAGTCTTGAAAGAGCTTTTTAATATAATCTATGCTGGGTTTCTAATCTTCCCCTTTCTAACTTTCAAGGCTCTCACATTTATACTGAACAAGAACACTTCCTTAGAAGTTGTTAGGAGAGCACGTTCAATTATGGAAGAATGTGCTTGTTATGGAAGAACAGTTAAGAACGGTTTACGGGATATTAAAATAATAATCACGTAGTGAGGTAGTGGATATAAGTTTTTAGTAAATGGAGTAGTAGCAATTGATAGTGCGTCACGTGTGCTTTTAAGGAGTAAGGAAAGAAAAATGGATAAGCACATGTACTTCAAGAAAAGTTAAGAGAAGTCCTCTTAACTATCTTCATTCTGGCACCAAGTCAAACTCTCTAGAACATCCCAAATTGAAAGTAACTCATTAACCCTGCCACTTGTTCTGAGTTACTTTCACTTCCCCTACATATAGCTATTGCACACTTGTTCTTGGGTGTTTCTATGCTTGTAACGCTCTTTGGGTGCTTTTACACTTGGAACGCCCTTGGACGCTTCTGTACTTGGAACACCACTAAGCGCTTCTACACTAGAATGCCTTTGGGCGCTTCTACGCTTAGAACACCCCTGGGCACTTCTATGATTGGAATACTCCTGGCTTGAAACACCCTAGGAAAAATGCCCTTGGGCTCTTCTACACTTGGAACATCCCTGATGTAATTATTTTGTAAAACTAGAATTGAGCATCTACATTTTGCCCCCTGCATAAAAATCCTTATAAGTAGTTTTATGCATAAGGAGATGCTCATACTAATAAGAAAGATAATACGTTTATATATATATATATATATATATATATATATTTCTATCTCTTTCTTTTATTTTATTTATTATTTATTATTTTATTTTTTTGAGTTGGTAATTATTGAGCATAGTATCACTATTATTATTTTTCTTATTTATTATATATATATATATTTTTAGTCAAAGAAAGGCTTTAAAAGAGCAAAAGAGTATTACTCTTAAACCATCCTAGTAAATCCCAAAGGTGGTGAAGATTGAATTTTTTTGGCTATTTCAGCCATGTTTATATGTTAGTTCCTTGCAAAAGGATGGGTTTCTCCTAACATTATCAATTCCATGCCCCCACAATTTCATGAAGCAAATTGTACGCGTATTGGATAAATGCAAAATTTTTTTTTAGTATAATAATAAAAAAAATTAAGATAAGGGAGGAGAAGTAGAGATGTCTGTAGAAAAGTAATTAGATGTAAAAAAGGATTTCCTAAGAAAATTTAAAGAGTTAGATTCCTATTAGGAAAATAATTTCTAAAATCTATAAATACGAGAGAATAGTTCTGTAAAAAAAATTCACAATCAATTCTTAAAGGCTCTTTTTTAAAATTTTGAACAAGTAAGTTTTCTTTACATCAATACTGTGTTTGTTTCTTTCCATTTTTTTTAACGTATATGTTTAGGGGTGCTTTTGCATTTAGAATAGCTCTAGACGCTTTCTTACTTGGAGCACCTGAACCACTTAGAATAGTTTGCCCCCTATAGGAAAATTTTATTATTAAAAATTTCATGCATAGTGGAAAGATTTAAATGAATGTCAAAATTTAAGGATTTTATAAATCTCTCTAGGGAAATTGGTTGTGTAGAAACTCACAATGAACTTCTAAGGCTTTTCCCTAAAATTTTTTTTTAGCATATATATATATATGGATTATAGATTATATATATAAAACAAATTGCACAGAAAATGAACATCTTTAATGTTAGGAAAATTTTGTTATTTTATTTTATTTTAACATAGAATGAGTGTTTATTTATTTATTATTGCTTGTTTCTCTTTGAGGATATTTTTTTTTCATTTAGTGATTTATATTCATATATCTTTATTTGTTTTATTTGGCATAAAGGAATATTAAAAAAAATGATGCACAAATAAGAACAAATAAAGAAACATGGGATATTAATGTATAAGTAGGAATGGCAATGCATGAGTATTTATCTGGTTGTTTTTTTTTTCTTTGTCATTTGTGCTTGTAGAAATTTTGTTGCCTCTTCTCATGGCCAGCACTCGTTTTACCCCGAAAGTTCACTATTCTAGGAAAGAAAATGAAGAATACTATTGCAACCTCTCTTACTAAGAAACTGTAGGTAGGAAGAACCGGTGAAATACCTCTTATGTCAGAAAATTAGGATGATAATATCATCAAAGAAAGAGGAGAAGATTGCTTTTAGGAAGCAGTGCGTGCAAAATAGGTAGATAGGCATCCATGTGCATCCGTTACTTATCATTGGGATCGTATTTGTAACGGAGTCACTCCAGATAGAAGGTGTTCGATCCTAGGAATGTCAGTACTGAAGTTCAGATTTAAACATGGTGAGCCCTCTTTCGGTCACTAAATTTGGATTTAATTCATTATTGGTGCAAGGTTGAGATAAATGGGTAGAGAAAGTCTTAAAGAATTCCACTTATGTGACTGCTCTCAATAATGTCGGAGTCCTTGACACTGTAAGAGTCACCACAAAACTCCATATTCATAGGGAATCCAGAATTAAAGTATGGCGCGCTATTCTTGCATGATGGAGTACTTTTTCACATACTATGATTACTGCTTAGGGAGAGTTTCTTGAAGATGTGTGCATTCTTTTGGAACTTCCTTATGTTGGTAGAGACGACCTTCGTTTCATTATACTTTCCAAAGAGAAAGAAAAAGTCAAGAAGTTCTTTATTAACTTATTTAGGAGCCAAGTTAAAGCTTCCGAGGTGGCGCATTTCTCCAACTAGGTAGGACTCTTCTATAAGAAGTTCAACATTAAAGGTGAAAGTAGTCCTCCTAAGTATCCAGATCACATTCATGAGTTAGTAGTTTTGTTGATCATATGGTTGGCTCGATGTGTCTTCCCAAGTTGTCTAGATGATGGAATATCTTCTTCAGTTATTCCTTATGCAAACAAAATTGCTAAGGGTACTAGCTTTTTTCTTGCTCCATTATATCTAGGATCTCTGTATAAGAGATTAGACTTGTATCATTCTAAGACTGCTGAATCAGTTGGTCGCTACAAAGTCTTGACTTATGTGGATGTATCTTTTATTCATATGTGTTTATAGAAACGATTTTGTAGTTGTGCCCCTACTTTTAAGGTGTATCAGCCCTATGTGTCTTCTTATGCAAATACAGCTTTAAGAGACAATTATAAAGCTTGGGCATGGCATGATCAAATTCTCAAAGACAACATTCTTAAGGTGTTGGATGAGGCAGATCAATTTACCGTCAGGCCTTATGTGAGATCAAGTCATGGTTTTGATGATCCAACTATTTACTATGATAGACGACCATCTAAGTGTGGGAAACTGAGCTCACGTGAATTGAACTTCTTAATGTGAATTCATTTTTCCAACTGTCTTTTATGATTGAGACAATTAGCTCAAGCATTTATAGGGATTCATTGTCTGTCGCGTATATTCTCCTTATAGAGTGGCATGCCAATTTGGATATGATCAACCAACTCCACCTAGACCTCCTTTTCTTGAAAACTTCTCCTCTTGCACTTTCGTATTTCTTATTGGTATGCTCAATCGTACTGTAGATAAATTCAAAAGCTGTGTTGTCCCAGCCTTTGACAAAATAGGTGCTTATACCACTAGTTGGTATGCTTACTAGGGAGATTGTCTTTAGGAATGGACTTCATTCATCGTATCTAATCTTAAAGTGCAATTGCATGTTCCTTTCATCAACAATGATGACGTGTCACTTCGTTTGAGTCACTCTAAGAGGAACAAAACCCTTGTCAGGGAAGCTTGTTTCTTGCTATTCTTTATCTCTCTTTTTACTTTATTCTCACATAGATATTTGAATTCTTTTTTTTTTTAGGAAAAATCAATTCCAAGTGTAAAAGTAGAAGAACAAAGTATCTCAAGTTTGAGAGTGAAAAAGAATCATATGACCACATGAAAAACCATGAGTCCAGTGATGAGTCAGTTGATGAAAGGTTTCCCAAACATGAACATCAGAGTTTAGGAGGAAAGGTAGATGGTAATGCTATACAAAGAGGTTTGATAGATCTGACTGATTTCCTACTCTTTGTGAGACAAAGTGTTGGTGAAGATGAGTTAAATGACATTACGAGAGTTAATGATGGTGATGTGGACGCTGCTACTAGAGTTGGTGGTGATGATGTCAATGTTGCTACTAGAGTTGGTGATGACGATATGGGTGCTACTAGTGGAGTTGGTGGTGATGATGTTAATGCCATTAACCAAAATGATCAGAGTGCTCTTGGGTTTCGCTTTGGAACATTTCAATATAACAATGCAAATATCATTGCCAGGGGAACCTTTGAAGTTACTTGCAGTATTCAGAACAACTTTGGTATCGATGCTACTCTTGGTGCTACTTGTAACATTTCTTCTTTCAAGGGTGCTTCGAATGTTAATCACGATGCTTCTTATCTTGAAAGTGTTTTGAATACTAATTGCAATGGCTCTTTTTCTGAGGGTATTCTGGATTCTACTCGTAATTCTTCCTTTTCTCTAAGAGGTATTTAAAATAACTCAAATATTATTTGTTTAAATATTGGTATGCCTCTTTCTTACTGCTCACTGTATGTCATTTTCCAGTCATGCCACAACACTTGCAGCTATTAGAGCATGTTTATACAGTAGAAGTTGAATTTTGGCATTTTAAACACAATTTATTGAATAAAGGCTTCATGGATAGCTTAAGTACTACTTTAGAGATTGCTTCCTCCCCATAGGCAAACATTTCCCTCGAAGAATTACAGAAAATGGTGTCTTATGGAAAATGTTCTCCTCTCTTATTGTCACATTAAATGCCTTGACGCTTGCATGGCTAAGGCCAAAGAATACATCATGACAAAGGTTGACAAGCCTAACATAGAGGTTGAGATAAAAAAGCTTGATGCAAGGAAAATGGAGTTGCAAAAAAGATTAGATAGCCTATCCAATTTTGAGAATGATAAATCCTCCTATCCTCTGAATTTCATACTTAACTAGCTTTTCCTTGTTCTTCTTTTTCTGATATTGTAAACTTGTTCTCCAAAGTGAACATTTACTTTGCCTTTTTCGTGGTTTTATTGAGCTACTTGGTTCCGTATTTCATTCTTTACGAACATATGAGTGTTTCACAAGTATTGCTGTGTGCTAAAAGGGATTCTCAACTTCATATTAGGAAGAATAATCTTTAACCTAATGGGAAGGAGAATGACATATTACATGAGCATTTAAAGCTGCGGCCTTTCTGTAAATAACAAACTATGGCCAAGAAGTGAGCAATAAAGCTTGCGGCCAATTTGTGAATAGCAAGCTATAACCAAGAAGTGAACGATAAAGCTTATGACCAATTTATGAATAGCAAACTATGACTAAGAAGTAAGTGATAAAGCTTGCAGCCGATATGTGAATAGCAAACTATGGCTAAAAAGTGAGCGATAAAGCTTGCGGCTAATATGTGAATAGCAAACTATGGCCAAGAAATGAACGATAAAGCTTGCGACTAATAGCGTAATATTATTAGAGCCAAATTATGAGCGTTAAAGCTTGCGGCTGAAATATGAATTATATGGTAAAAGATTTGAGCATAACACTTTCGACCAAGTGAAACAAGAATATTACAACCAAATAAGAGCAATAAAGCTTATGGCTGAAAATGAATTTACTTTAACATATCACAAGACAGCTAAAATGAAAGCGATAAAGCTATGACCGATAATGCATTAAAAGTAAAAAAAATACCAAGCAATTGGAGCATTCTCATGAGCTCCTAGACATAGGTGGGAATTGTAATTTCTTGATTGTCGAGAGAACTCTCTATATCTTCATATAGAAATTTCTGGATAATATTCACTTACTGCAATCACTCTTCCCCAATGGAGTCGCTAAAATGTAGAGGGTTCTTTTGGTTAGGAAGAGAGGACGTGTTGCAATGAGTAAATCAGGATGCACTAAAGGCAGCAGAGAGGAATACTGGAGCAATCTTTAAAGCGTAAGTGCTTTGAGTGGCAGGTGGCGAAGGATGATAAAAGGTTGATAGAGCGGCGGATAACGACGAATGAGAAAAGACTAAATAGAAAGACTATTTGTAGAGGAGTCTTTAGAGAGCTTTTTAATCTAATCTCTGCTAGGTTTCTAATCTTCTCCCTTTCCAACTTTCAAAGCTCTCACATTTATACTGAACAGGAACACTTTCTTAGGAGTTGTTAGGAGAGTACGTTCAATTATGGGAGAATGTGCTTGTTATGGAAGAACAATTAAGAACGGTTTATGTGATATTAAAAGAATGATCATGTAGTTGGGTAGTAGACTTAAATTTTTGGTAAATGGATTAATGGCATTTGATAGTGCGTCATGTGTATTTTTAAGGAGTAAGGAAAGAAAAATAGGTAAAGCACATGTACTTCAAGGAAAAGTTAAGAGAAAGTCCTCTTAACTAATTTCATATCTGAGCCACCAAGCCAAACTCTCTAAAACATCCCAAATGTGAAGGTAACTCATGAACCCTGCCACTTGTTCTGAGTTACTTTTACTTCTCCCTACATATAGTTGTTGCACACTTGTTCTTGAGTGTTTTTGTGCTTGTAACGTGCTTTGGGTGCTTCTACGCTTGGAACGCCCCTAGGTGCTTCTGCACTTGGAACACCCCTAGGTATTTCTGTATTTGAAACACCATTAGGCGCTTCTATACTAGGAAAGCCCTTGGGCGCTTCTATGCTTAGAACACCCCTAGGCGCTTATACGATTGGAATACTCCTGGCTTGGAACACCCCAAGGAAAATGCCCTTGGGCTCTTCTACACTTGGAACATCCCTGATGTAATTATTTTTTAAAACCAAAATTAGGCATCTACAATCTCTCAAGTATTAGATCTGATCCCCAACCTTGTAGAAAAAGAGAAAGTGAAAGAGGATTTTTAATATAGAGCTAGAATTGTGATATCTCCAAGCAGTGCTTCGTGAAGAAAGAAGCTTGAGCAATATGAGCAATAAAAAAGTTTAATGTTAAAAAAGTTGCTTAAGAGAAAAAAGAGAGAAAGAAACCAGCAGTGATAAGAGATTCTGAACTAAAAAACTGAAATGAAAGAAATAAGATAGAGAAATTATAAAATTAAGAAATAGTTGAAAAAACAAAGAAAGCACCCTGGTCACACTATATTCATGTGACTTGCATTCAAATCTAGTCAAAAGTCAATGTCAAATCTCTCTTATGCGTGAGCTGTATTTTATTATTTGATAGAATGATAAGGTGCGAGTTGGTTTGGATAATGTCTAATACGAGTAAAAAATATGAAACCGAATCAAGTAGTTGGTTATCATAACCTTAGATTGATTTGGTTTATGGTTTGCACAGCCCTAATCAAACCTGCATATATTTTCCTTCCAGCTGTATTTCTAGCTGTTTTTTGCATCGATGAGGTTGAATTTGTTAATAATATGAACCTTGAAATGCCAAGTAGCGTTGGCTCCTGTCTTGCTTTCGTTTTTGAATGTTTTCTTGTAGTTCTTTCTTGCTTCACATGGTAAACCATCATTACATTTTGGTTGGTTTTGTTTCCTTCAGAAATGGTTTAGTGGCTCTGAATAATTATAAGGGTTTAAATCCTTTTAAATCTTTTGGATCTGATTCATATTTTATTCTGATTATGCTGCATTGAACTTTCTTTATGGAACCTTGATGTTGGTGCTATTGAACTACAGTATATATGAGTGTTTTATGCTTGTTCAAACTGTGATGCAATTTCCACAGGCACTGGTCACTTAGTATTCGGAAGCGTGGATGCTTATGGTCATCTTATTGTCTCTAAGCTGGATGCTAGCAGTAAAGGTACATCCCCTAATTTATTTTTCATATTTCTCTAGTTTATATGTAGGTTTGATGGTGAAGTTTCTAGCATATTCTTCTTTATATTTCAAACACTAGCAGTTTGCGGCCCATCCCTTTCAGAGAAGCAATTAACCAGTTGTATGTTACTCGTTTTAATCGTTTGGATCTTTGCAAGTAGAATTTTCTGTCTGGCAGGCATGTCTAACTCAAAAGTAACAAAAGAGATTTATACTTTCTCTTAGAACTTTCTTGAGTAGTTCAGGTTACTTCCTCGACATGACAATTGTTTAGCCTTACCCATTTCTTTTCGCCTTTCAGATGCAAGTGCTAAACTAACATTTAAGGAAACACTTTTAGTTGCCTAACGACTAGTTCTGGTTGATCATCAAAATGGGGTCGGTCAGAGTAGAATGATTATTTGCTTTCTGCTGTGGTGTCATGCAGTCAATGATATGCAGCCTTGGGTTTCTCAAGTCTTGCTAATTTTACTTATAATTCCATTATCTGAAAGCATCCTCATATATTACTTATCTATAGCCCCTTTTTGTTTATTGATTCGTTGGATCCATATGACGTGTGGTTTTGGATGGAGAAAGACTTTTGTTTATTATTGATAAAATTGGCAATTAGAAATTGGACAAAATTGTATTTTATTTTGATAATTAGAAATCCTTACCTAATCTAATTTGAACTTCTATGAAATTTGTAAAATGCATAAATAAAAATAATCAAATGTAATAAATTTATTTTTTTCAATATCGAAGGTAAAAATTTACATTAATTAGTAGATACATGAGATTTATTTAAAATTTACATATCTCAAAGAAGATGAACTATACATGTAAAATTATTTCTTTTGCTATTAAAACAAGATATTCTTATTAAAAATACCATTGGCCTTTATTCTTGTAGTCTTGAACATTCTCTGGGCCATTATTAGTGGCCCATGTAGGCCCTGATCCAGATGATATTTGATTTTTAGCCCACTTCTTGTCTTTCTACGTGAGCCTGGTTCTGTTAAGGGTGGCCTCAAGATACGTCTTAGTTTGGGTTCAGGCCTATAAGACAAAATCCAAGCTTGTCAAGGAAATATGGCCCACCATCCAACCAATTAACAAAGCAACTTGAAGTCTTGCATAGGCCTTTGAAATCAACCGATTGAGCCCAAAAGCCCCAAGATCCAACTCAAAATTTCAGATACAACCAATGGCAATTCAGTAATTCGATCCCTTGTTTCCTTATAAACCCTAAGCTCTGCCTCCTCTAACAGCGTTTCACTTCTCACTGTGCTACTCTCTCTACTAAATCTCTTTCATTTCATTTTGTCAACTTCTTGATAATATGCCCGATGATGTAGAAACAAAGACATTGAGCGGTTGCTTTGGTTTTTGTTTTCTCCAGAGTCTTCACTCACCACCACCATCCCGACCACTTCCACCACCGTCACCACTCTCACCTAACATTTCATACATATTTACATACATACATATACACATATATACGAGTGGTGGTGTGTAAAGGCTTAGGAGGAACTGCCACTAGCACAAAAAACCGCGGATGATTTGTTCTAAGCTATGAGATCTGAGGGCTTCTCATGTCTTTTTATCACTTTTACAAAATGCCCATTTTTTTATTTAACTTATTAATCATTTCTTTTTTTCTTTTACTCATTAGAGGTTTTATTAAGAAAGATGATACAAGCGCTCTGAGCAGTGTTCCTAGAAAAAAGAAAAAAGCTGTGATCTTGATGCACATGCAGCCTCGAACGCTTCATCTGACTCACCCCAATTTTCTCTTTTTTGGAAATTATGCCGTAATGTTAATATTGTCTATATGGATACACAAGTCGTGTTAGCAAAATGTCAAATGTCTAATTTATTAATGGGGAATGTTAGAGTTAGCACTGTACATTATTTTTCTTTTTGCTTTGATTCTTTGGGCATGCTGAACTGAGTCTCTATTGTTGCAATTGCTTCCATTGTGTACTGATGAAAAACCCATATTTTTATTCAATTTTATTTTATGTTACACATATTGTAGCTTGCTCTTTTTATTTTTTGTGGTTTTCAATTAGGTTTTGGGTTTTTGGCTTTTTGCCCAATGATGGAAAACTCATTGATTTAAATGGCATATGAATGATTGTAGGTTGGCCGAAAGAGGGATGTTGCATTGTCATTCTCTTTTTGCTTATATCTTAATGACATAAATGGTATAACTAGTATAGCAAGTTTCGTTATACACATGGAGAGGGAGGGTGGATGTTGTATTTGGTTGATGAAACTGTCAGCATACATCTCATATCTCTCATTAGTGTAGTGGCACATGCTCTTGATGCACATGCATCCAAGAACACGCTATCTGACTCACCCCAATTTTCTCTTTTTGGGAATTATGTTGTAATATTAATTTTGTCTATGTTCATATATAAGTTGCGTTAGCAAAATGTCACATTTATTAATAGGGAATGTTAGAGTTAGCACTGTACATTATTTTCTTTTTGCTTTGATTCTTTTGGCATGCTGAAGTGAGTCTCTATTATTGCAATTGCTTCCATTGTGTACTGATGAGGAAACCCACATTTTTATTCAATTTTATTTTATGTTGCTCTTTTTATTTTTTGTGGTTTTCAATTGGGTTTTGGGTTTTTGGCTTTTTGCCCAATGATGGAAAACTCATTGAATGGAGCAGTTTTTCTGATTTTTATTTAGAGTGTTTACTATCATCTCCGTTGTCATCATCATCATCATCAGCTTTTTCTATCCCGTTCTCTCTCTCTCTATTCATCTATCTCTCTATCTATCTTCTTATTGACACGGCTGATGATACGTAAATTCTCTTAATGAGAATTAGTTGTTAATACTGCGAATGACCACACATATCTATGAGATCTGAGGGCTTTGGTTGATCATTTTGAATCTCAGACTATCATGCTGTTTTTGTTTTCTTTGTGTATGATTGATATGTTGATCATACTTGTGCCTACGCTTCACTGAAATGCATAATTAAGATCAAGGGTCTACCAAGGAAGTTTTTTGGTTGTTGATTTTGTTCTTTAGTGACTATAGTATAGAAATGTAGTGCTATTGATTGACAGTACACTTCTTGTTGGGGTGGTTTGCATGAGTTTTCATTAGTCTGAATTTTGTCGATCTTGCTGAATATATCTTGTTTGCAATTACAATAACCACAATGCAGTCTTTTGTCGCTAGATGAAATAATTGAAGCCTCTCATAGAATTTAGGTAAACTGCAGTACCTCTTTGTGTTTTCAAAGTATTTTCTTGGGACTGTTTAATTGAACTTTGATCATGTCCTTTTGGATGCACTTTATGTGTCTATTTCATTGATGTGAGTGTCTGGCTCTTCTTGAATTGCTGCTGTGCAAAGGATGAAATATTTAGGTTGTGAAAAAGCATCACACAAATGTGGCCTTTGTTCTTTGTGAGAAATTCTTGCCAACTCTTTTCTTACCTGAAATAGTGCTTTTGTGTATGTTATCTACTAGTACTTACAAAAGTATATCATCTGCTAATCCTTAGTGATTCACTTTGGTTCTATTAAATCTAGCTAGTCAATCTTTCATTGTTTTTTCTGTTTAATATATGCTTAATTAATTTCAAAGGCTTTTACATGTGCACAATTATGAGAAGTTAGTAGATTCAGTGGTTTCAATGATTTTTATTTTGATCCTCTGTCATTGCTTCTGTTGTTTGTTATTGTTGTTACCTTTTATCTGTGAAGATGTAGATTGGTTTTTGTGAAAATCATGAGCTTCATATCTTTTGATTATGATCTTGATGAAATCTGAGCATCTTTTGTTTTTTTTTTTCTTTTTTGAGTTATATATTCCTTATAAATATTATTATGGACCTTTGTTTGATTAGAGCCATTGTAAACAGTATGTTTTTAGCTTTATATTTTTTTTTTAGTAGTTCATAATTCTTTCAATGAAGTTATATGTTTTAATATTTGAGTCTTGTCCTTGCATTTTGCCCAATGATGAAAAACTCATTCTTGATCGAATGGATCTGGTTTTAATTCATCTTTGGCTTTTGCACACCACCTCTTCATTCTCTCTCTCTCTCTCTCTCTCTCTCTCTCTCTCTCTCTCTCTCTCTCTCTCTCTCTCGTGTACACATGTGTTTGTGTGTATGTATGTATATATATATATAATATATATGTTGGTGGTGTGTGAAAAGCTAATGATGAATGCCTTTACAGTGAATTGTACATGATCTTGCCATAGCTATGAGATCTGAGGGCTATTTTCAGTTGCATTTTTATGGCATGTTTTGTTAGGGAATCGAATAGCCATTCCTCTCTATTCCTTATCCCCTTTTATAATTGCATTTTATCTATGAAATGGTCATTCCAGAAATCTTCTTGTTAATGGCTATTTCGACTATGTTGGAATAGGCTAAAAAAGTTGTTGCACAGAAATGCCTTTAATTAATTTAAAACATAACTATCCTATATAACTCAAAGCTTTTTCATTTCCCCTTTCTTTTTTCTTTCTGTGCGCATTTGTCTCTCCCTTCTCTCCTATTTTCCTCCACTATTGGAGGATGGTAAAGGGTGGTGGTGGTGCCTCCACGATTGGATCTGGCACTACACGACTAGATCTGATCATGGGAAGTGATGACTAGGTGCTTCATGGCCAGATTTGATTGTGGAAAGTGTCGATTTGGTGCTCCCCAACTAGATCTAGTCCCAAGAAGTGTTGGATTTGGCACTCCACATTTAGATTGTAGAAGAAAATAAATTGATTTTTGATTGGCAGTCAGTTACAAGTCAATATTTATGCTTGCCATAAAGTTTGATTTTAAGTCAATTAAGTATAATATTAATTAATTAATTGAAAACTTCAAGTCGATAATTAATTGATCAATCTTGGTAAGATAATTACATTTATTTTGGCACATGATAATCACGTTAATTATTCTTGATACTCCCTTTCAAGATGAGCTTGAATTCTTAATATTCAAAATGCTCATCTTGCTTAACTTTATTGCAGATTTTATGAATGTTTTTGGGATTAATAATCCTAGTGAAGGTTTTTTCTCTGATGAATTTAATGCCAAAATCTTAAAACAAGAAAATCGACCACATAAACTCCCAACCTCTGTTGAATTTCTTGCAAAAATTGTTTGTTTCTTGGACTTCCAATTGATGAGTGACTCTCTAAGTATATGTAGGCAGTCATTGATTTCCTTCTATCTTGGTACCTTGTTCCAACACTATTTGCATGAGTTGTTAATTGCAGAAAAGGCTTAATTTAAAATAAAATTCTTTATCCTGGTGCTGTTTTAAGGTAATTTAATACCTTAGAGGCTGCCTGCAAATGAGAATTCCTTAGTTTGTCGAAGAATTGTGACAGTTTGTGCTGCATAGGCTATATTAGGCCTAGTGATGGTTAAGAGTAATAATTTTCCAATCAGTTGTTTATATATGCGAGCGTCTGTTATCTGATCATCATCATTGGTCTTGGAGAGCTTGTGATTGTAATTAATGGGAGTGGAAATTGGTTTAGCTCCCAATAAATCATATTTATTAAGTCCAATGCGTATTTCCTTTGACAAATGTAAATACTCCAAACTTAAAAAATACTTAGGCACCCTAAGATCCATAAGTT